ATCCCATTGAGATTTAGTCATCTTTATGGATGGAAAGAGCATGGAGCTCTGAAACATTTTCTGAAGTACTGGGGAGTATTGAGTTCAATAGGACACTTTGAGACAGTAAAAGAGTCCTCTAATTTCTCCTTCAGGTCATTTTGCTCTTCTCTCTGTTGTAAGCTTTACCAGTTTGAGGAGACATTTGTTCGAAAGTATATATTGAAGAGTATAAGGGGGAGAGAGATACTTTTGAGGAATCAAGTTACAATTCAGCTACAATTTTTGCAATAATTAGATCCTGCTCAATGGCAACAGAATTTTGTCTTCATCAATATTATCTGTGGCATTCCAAGTTTCAAGAAGAACCAAGCACTCAGTTATCTGGTTTTCGCAATAACGAGATTTTTAAAATATAGTATTTGGAAATCATGTCTAATGGTTTGTTGCTGATGATGGAATGAAATTGACAAGACAATGTGTGAAAAGCTAGCAAAAAGCAACTACTTCATTTACTGAAGACAGAAGAGCATTGGCTGGAAGGGCTAATTACCAAGTGTGGATGAATTACTGTCGTTATATGTGATTGTAAGTAAATGGAAGGTGAATAAAGGAACTTCACAGCAAGTCTTCCTAGACAGAAATGAATCTGACCTCAAAAAAGTACTCTCACAATCCTCACCTACATGCACTATAATACAGTATACAATACAATTAATCCATGAATTATGCATTTGTGGTTGTGAAAAAAATTTTGAACTTAATAAAATAAAAATATATGTAATGTAATTTGTCTTTCTTAGTACCTAAAGATATTCTGGCCCACTTCTAATAAACTGACCTTATTTATTATTTTTCTGAATCTTCTTTAATGGATGGGCTTTATTGTTGTATTTGTTAACATAACCTTTTTATGAGCCAGTTGAATGTCCCCATTCTTCTTGCTATTGAAGAGACGGTTGTTCATATTGACAGGTTTGGAAATAGACTCTGCTTTGTTTTTTCATGATTTGTCATTAAAACAGATTTTATTTTCTTAATACCACACATGAGGCAGTTAAGAACCCTATATATGTGTGAAGCTATACATAGCAATGTTTACTATAATTCTGAATTTACTAAGTGTATCTTCATGGAATTTGGCAAGCTTTTAGTAAACACTACAAATCATTTGTACACAAAAATTCAGATTTTCTGATAGAGTATTGTTTACTAAAGATTGGTCTGTGAATTTACTGTGTCAGTCTGTGACACTAGTCTGAGTGCAAAATGACTTTCATGTTAAGAATAAAAAATTTTCATCTTACAATTTTCATATTTCTAAATGACTATCAAAAGCTTTTTTAGTAAAAACTGTCTTCTGTTTTGTCTACTGTAACACTACCTGTAGCAAAATCATCAACCATGACAATGTTCAGTGAAATGGAAAACTGAAAACTATGAAATAAAATTAACAATATTTTTTTCTTCTTCTTTTGATGCATAATTTCCCTTTTTGTCTGTAGTTCTTATCTTTAAAGTTTCAAGTGTTCACTTTTTTATATTTGTTTTCGGTAAATTTATAGTTTCATTGTTGTACCTTCTTTAGGACTAATCCTTCTATCAGAAACAGCACATACAGTGGATGTAATTAGCCACGGGTCGTAAACACCATGAGCAAAGTGTGATCTTTGTGAGTGCAAACCACAGCTGAGATAGGCCTCAGTTTTTTTCAATTAAGCTAATCTTTCAAATAACTATTCTTAGAACTTTCAATTATAAATTATAGAACACAAAACATATATCAGTCACAAGAGTAGAAAGTCCCAAAACTAGTATAATGTAACTAGCTTTTGTAATTTAGCTACAAATAGGTAACTTATCAATAATGATCACACATAAATCATCTCAAGCAAACTGTCTACAACTGCATGACAAAAAAGAAAGAACTGCTAACAGATTGTTTTAGGGTAAAAATTCTCTTCCTATTGGTTATAAACATGTCTATAAAAGAAAGATACGTGGTTTAGATAAATTCTTTCAAAGTTATGACAAAATGGGAGAAGCCTCAATGATGGTGTCATCAGTTTATTTGTATGTCAGTAATTCAAAAAGATGGGAGATTTAAATTTCATATTCTGGCCTGTCAACATCTATAGTTTGAGTTCTTGATTTGTTAGTCTTCTGAAAACATTAACTCTCTCTCTCTCCATATGGTTTTAGTCAATGTGACTGGCCCCATAACCACAAAGTAACTGTCAGTTTCCATACTATAACTTTTAATATGTTTTCTGTATCTTCATAAAATCTGGAAGGCTTTCAGTAAATATTAAAAATATTTTGTACACAAAAAAATCATATTTTTAATTGACTATTTTTACTAAAGAATTGACCATGAATATATACAGTCAGAGTGTTGACTTTCAGAGTGCAAAGTGATTTTCATGTTGAGATTAAATGTACTTTTCTTCACCTGATAATTTTCAAATTTCATTTCCGTAACCTCTATAAACTCCTAAATAAATATCAAACTTTTTTTTTCAGTAAAATTTTATATCTTATCTGTTATTTTCTCTACATTTACTTTATAAAGACTTGTTGATTTGACTGACCTTGTAACCACCATAAAATATATAAATCTAAATTACTCTTTTTTTCTTCTTTCTAGAATGACTGCAGTTTGTAGCAGAAAACTACAAATGTTTATCCTAAATAGTTTAGGGATCATAACAGTACATCTGTTTATACTTAAATTTATTGTTTTATTGCCCTTTGAACAAATAAACCTGCCACACAAGTTGTAAGTCACTCAAAGAGCACATAGCTCATGTTACTATAGTGAATGATATAATGCATGAGCTGCTTGTGGGCATGCCTAATGAAGAATTTTTATTTTTTATTACCATACCTAATCTAACTTTGTCAGTTGCAGGTGAAATTTAAGCCTACTTTTTCATAATGATGGTACTAGGACACTAAATGATTTTTATTTACTTAAATAATGCACCAAAGAACACAGAAAAATAACACTTATAAGACAAACAATGTCCTATAACTATTATAATTTATCTGGTTTTCTAACAATACAAGAGTGGTTTAAATTAAGTCCCATAGCTTCTCAATCTGAACACCACAAGATAAACTTTCATACTGAACATGAACTTGAAAATACTCTGTACTGAAAACATCATTTGATAGATTAAACTTTACCTTTATATTGGTTATAAATGACTTAGTATAAAACATTAGAGAGAATTATTGGCAGTCTGTGAAAAATAAAAAAAAAAGAGCGTGACAGGTGGGTGTGGCAAGTGATTCAGATTTTCTAGTTTATGACTCTGTAAACAAATAAGATTAAAGGCTATAAAAATAGACTTTGCCTTGGTAATATCCATATTACAGTGAGTAATTTACATTAAATTCTGTACTTTAGAGAGGGGTGGTAAATAATTTAGAGAAGGGGAAAGACCTAGAGAATAAACGTTACAATTCTCATACTAGGGGAGATTAAATATAATTGTAGGTTCTTTAAAAATAGCTCACTAGGATGCTAAACAAATAAACTACAAAATATTTTTAAAAATGACACCTAAACTGTTAATGGCTTGATCAGCCTGCTTGGTTAAAGCTTATTGTGTTAATTTATTTTAACTTTTAAAACACTAAATCTCTGTGGCATTCATGACTTCAGCATTCTTTTATCTCTGTACAACTCTTAAACAAGAGACTCACTCTTAATGTAGTGTGCTTATGGGTGGACAAGACTCTCTAACTCCAGCTGTATAAATACCCAGAGATCTCCACCATAGATCAAATAAATGAATTCCCATTGCTCAACTGTAATCAAGGTCACTGCTTCATGTTCTAAGAAAAAAACAACTCCTCTGACCAAAATAATGGAAAAATGACATTACGCTGTGCACATATTTATGTGACATTATATACAGTGTTCTTAAGAGTGTTACATCTTATAAGTGAAACAAATTGATCCTTTATCAAATGTTCAAAGCAAATAGGTAACCTTTATAACAATTTTATTAAAAACTTTATAAGTTAAGAAAATGCACACAGTCAAACTAATAATTATTTAATAGATAAAATGATTGGTACATTATTTACTTTGTATTTCCTAGCATATTTGTGTGGACAGGAACTACAGGAGTTTAAAGAGGGTAATTGGTTATTTCCTGAAAATAAAGGGTAGGTTTAAATTTGTATTTCTCTCAAGTGTTGGTGTGCAAGGACAGCTTTTAAGGACACAGTGGTCCATTGTTTTCTGTTATTGGACAGATGTAGGGCAACTCTACATGAAGAAATGCTCAGCATGGAGACTGAAACATTATTTAGGAAATGTCCAGAGGTAGTTCTTGTTCATACAAACATGCTTGAGATATTTACACTACCTACATTTTAACTGAAGTTTTATGTGAAACCAAAGTAAATGGGTTATACAGAGAATAAATCATAACACCTCTTTTTACAACATTATCGAAGCTACCTAATAAAGATAATTTATGTACTTTATAACTGTGACATTGAAAAAGCTGGAAAAATAATAATGACTCGTCTCTTGTGACAACTGATTAACAGTTAGGACTAATTTTCATTGTAAAATCGTTATAGGATAAGAACAACATGGTATAAGGCATGAATTTCTTGTCAGACTCGTTTGTGACCTTCACTTGCTAATTATAGAGCACCCCTTCTTTGTTTTGTATGTTCAAATATTACACAGAAGTGGGTAAATAAATAATTTTTTTATTGTGTGAAAACATCAAATGTTGGTATCATTTGATAATCAGACCTTGCATCTGAAGAGTGATGTATCTTGTATTTTGCATAAGCATTATTCAAAAACATTTGAATTAATATATAGATATCTTTGGTTCAGTTGTAGATTAATATAACAGTAAATTATGTTTTATTTCGTAATTTAAAAACTAGAGATATAAATTTTCATTATATACAATAAAAAAGCTATTATGTTGTTTTTTTTGAAAATTTTACTTTACAAGTTATGTCATACCTTTATTTTCCTAAAGAGGAGGTCAGGTAGGTTCTATCCCACGAGGCTGGCAATCAACCTTGCATCAGGCTTGAAGGACAACAGCTTAGATGTTCATAGACCAGGATATATCTTAGTGGAGACAAATTACAGAGTATATGCTTATACAGGTAATTAAAATGTATTCTAAAATCTAGTTTCTTTGCTTGGACTTGTTAATGTGTGACTTTAAAACAATTAACATTCCAACCATCATTCTTTGACCTTTTAGTTTGTTTTCAATAGATTCACTGACTGCAGTGTTTCTGACACAGCCCTCCAAGTTTAGCTTTTTAAATGATGGCAACATGAAACATTTAGTGGCCAGAAAAGATTTTGTGGTGGCAAGCTTTCCATAAATTTATAGAAGGAAAAACAACAAAACATTTTATTTCAAGCACTGTTCTTAAAATTTACAACTTTCCCATAGTTCCATTCAGGTCAGACTGTTCATTCCTCTCTTCTAGCTCTA